TTAACATTCAGTCGAAACATTCTCTTATGTTTTGTCTTTGTTTTTTTTTCTTCTGTGTAATAATAATAATTAAATGTTTATTTTGCAGCGTGTTTTTCTTTTCCTTTCGAACAAACGGGTGACAATGAATAAGGGTAACTTGGAGGAAGCTAATCGAATGCTCAATTTAGCTCTTGAAGAGCTTAATTTTATTGCTGACGGTAAATGATTTTCACTATTCGTAATTTTAATTATCGTTTTTAAACAATAAAACTTGCAGAAATTTGCTTTTCAATTATAATGCAGCACTGATTTATGATATTCTGACGTTAAACTATTTATCATAAATCCAATTTGTCGTCATATTTTCTAAGCGGGAAAAGGAAATGAAATTCTATATGAAATGATATACTCAATCAATCAACCAGTGTATGCTTCTTGTTTTTCTGTTCCAAAAAGCGAAGAATAACTGTAATTCTTTGAGATTTTTGAAATTTGATATCTTAATCATAATTTTCCTTTATTATAATCACATGCTTTACCTATATAATAAAAAGTAAATAGTACCAAAATATACGAAATTTACTCTCAACCATTCTACGCAATACACGTGAAGAGATTAGATTGGCAGTTGTTGCTGGCCAAAACCATAGTTTGATAGATGTGATGAAATTTGTTTTCGGCTAGTTATCTTTGATCACGTTGGTGACATGCGCTGATCTCATCATTGAAATGGATCAGTTGCTCAACTAATTCTATTGACTTTTTCATGAATGAATTTCCTTTTCTTACCATTAATGTTTATTTATTTGTTTTTTCCTTCATCTTTAAATATTTCAATTTTATTTTTAATAATTTCCTTACGGAGAAAAAAGGATGGAAAATTTCTTCCCTCTTTCCTCATCTAAAGATAAATACATTAACTTATATTCCATTTACGTTTGTTACTATTATTACTTGAATAATAAGCCCTTATCATCTTTTAACAATTGTAAACTTTTTCCTTTCTTTTCTTTTTATTTTTCGAAATGCTAAAGAGAATTTTTGATTGATGTACTTCAGTAACACTACACAACATACTATTATGCTTTCTTTTCCATTCTTTTCCCCCCTTTTTTTCCAAATAATGTCACTATGATTTAAATTAGTTTAATTCTTGTCATTTGTCAACTAATGTCACTTAATTCATTTTACTTGTCCCCATCTTTCATCATAAAACAATTGAATAAGGGCTATTTCGAATTGATATGACACAAGTCTACACAATGTCTCAATGAATGGCTGACAAGCGCATTTCTCAACTAAAACTTTTTCATTTGCTATTCATTTCGTTTTAAATATATAGTGATTTCATTTACTATTTAATTCAATGCTTTTTCAATTCCCACTCTTTGCATCATTACTAAATCTGAATATGAACAAGCAATATCCAATTTTATGTGTATATATATGTATACACATATACATATATATATATATATATATATATATTTAGAATCGAAAAACTTTTAGAATGCATAGTCTGTCGGATCCATTTCAACAACTTTCAGGATATTCCGGAAAGCGTTCTGTACTTTGGTATAAAATGAATTTTCTAGTATTTTCTGGATTTCTCTAATCTGTTATCATTCTGCATTAAACATCCTCGGGTACGCTTGTTATAGGACGTTTATAGTTTTATAAGAAAAAAAATCAAGGGAAAAATAGAACTTTTCAATTTGAATTCAAAAAATTTCAAAAAAATCAACGACTGATTCACTTACATCAAAATGATTATGGTCACGTTATTATCAATGATTCAGACATTTTCATAGATAATACATTCATTTGATTTTAAACAATTTTTTCGTTATTCTTCCAAAGGCGTTTGACAATTTATCGATTCCTTCTTCTCCCACAATTGGTCGGTCGGTCGACCATTATTCCATTGCTGTACGTAGGTATATATATGTGTGTGTGTATGCGTGTGTCTGTGTCTGTGTGGGTGGGTGTGTGTACATGCACAGAAGATGTATGTATGGTTGTGTATGTCTGTATGCGTGTATATGTATGTGTGTATGTGTACGGTTCTGTTCACCATTATCAACGTTTACCACTTGAACGATACGATCAGGTAACCATACAATTGCTACCGTTCCCAGATCACATTTCATAAACATTTTGAACTTTTTTCATTCTTAAAGAGTTTTTTCTTTTTTTGCAACTTCACTAAACAAATTATATAAATGATTGAGATGGGATATGATCGTGTTTCATTCTCACTTACCTTAATAGTATTATTGATCGAAATTTTAGATTGAAATATCTCAGTTTCGAACATTGTCCCCCAACCTTCTCATCAAATGACTTCAATTCTCGATCTGTCTGTCTGCTCGAGTTGATTGCCTGTTAAAGTTGTAAATGACAAAATACACTTATCGGCATTATTCAATTCAAATTTATATAATGTTTCATTTGTTTCCAATTTAATTAATTTTATTTTACTTACCATCAATGTTTTCTTTTCGTAATTTCTGATAGTTTTTTCGGAAATTCCACTAATTTCCTTAATATGAACAATTCACTACTTCGTAAACTCATTTTCCTAAAATTAATTTTCAGTCATCTTTTCAATTTTTTCGTTTTTTTAAAAAAAAAAGCTCATTATCGCTTGCAAGAAAGACTGAGTTTTCCTCATTAATTGTCCGGTCTTTGAAACTTACATTCTGAATAGCCTATTTTTAAGTTGTAGTAAGAGTATATGCATATTGCGTCATTATTATTTCATTAAGACATTGGTCAAATAATAAGCTAAAATTTTCCTGAAAAATTCAGTCAAATTATTTCAACAGAACGTTAGAACCGGCAACAGTTGACAATATTGCAGTACAGTAGAAGATAGATGTCCTAAAAGCTTTGTACAACTCATAAAGGCATTGTCGCATATTGGTTAGACTCTAAGTATTAGTAAGTTGATTTAGTAGGAACGGTTATAGTAGTTAGTACCATAAGCCTGAACATTTGGAAGATTCGTTTCAACAGGTTAGAAGAAAATAGTCCAAGTAATCCTGATAAATTCAATCAGCTTCTTTCCTTAGTCAATGTTTTATTTTGAGTTCTCATTGTTAATGTTCCATTTTACGTTTTCCGAAGCTTTAAAGTTTAATGTTAGATTTAGCTCAACCGATCAAATTTTGATGGTACAGAAGTAAAGGTACGATACGAAATTGACTTAGTCAAACTATTGGAAAAGTCTTTTTTCTTTAATTTTTAAAAGACTTTTATTTGGGGGTAAAAAGGAAGGACATAATTTGTCACCATCAAGTTCTGTCACTACTAAGTTTCATCTTTCTTTCCCAACCGTATGCGACAATTAATTAATCAATTAATTGTTCATGACGTTACATATCTATCTGTCAGCTAAAATACCATTGTTGTAACTTGATTTTGTGTTTGCAGTCAATAAAGAAACGATAATTCATTCCATTTTGTATTTCTCTCCTTTCCTTTTTTATATTTCTAGTTATGATGTTTTTACTAAAAATATTGAGTCCCTTTTTTTTTTCCTTGATAGTTCGAAAGCACTTTTTATTTCTTCAAATTTTATAAGCGCAGTTGGATGATGTATGCATTGACTACCTATATCATGAAACGAAATGCACTCTAGTTGAAGTTAAATAAGTGAGTTCTTTTGACCGTTGGAAAATGGTACATTTATCAAATAGCGCATTTAACGCGGTTACTTCAAAAGAAAAAGTGGAAATTGCACCTGATTTTGAACTCGAATTCATAATAGAATGAATACATAGTTGGATGAGATTTGGAGGGTATAAGAGGAAGTAAGGAATGAACTGTGATGGAATTAGATAGGAGCTGTGAAAAAAACATTGAATTCTGTGGCCAACTTTCTGATCGGGTCGATAGCTGAAAATAGATATATGTGGCCCTATAATCATTTTTCTTTTTTTGAAAGGCACGAAATGTTCATAGTTTGTTGGCATTGCTAAAAATTGTGTATGTTTTTCAGTTATTTAAGCTTTTATTAAATTTGTCTAAGGGACTTTTCCAATTAATGACTTTTCCAATCTACTAATTGAGTTAGCATAGGGTCGTTAAGATGGATTTCTTATAAGACTAAAGTTAAATTTTAATAAAGACCAAGCTTTATACTTTGCAGCTTGATTAATTTGTTCCAGATTAGTCTCTTTGTTTACTGAAAAAGTAGCAATTATCATTGACAACAAGCCTTTCATATATATGACTAGTTCCCATGATGTAACCTTCATAGACTATCATTATTTGCATTAATTATTCCTTTCATTATTCCTGCTATTTATTGATTCCCTTTAAAATATCAAAATTTAACCTCATTCTGTAGTCATATTTTTGGCTTGCAATCCTATGAATTTTGTTTACTTTATTGAATTAGAAATTGAATTAAAAAAATGGTCCTAACAGTTCACTTTTATATTCCGATTGAAAATTTAAATTAATGGACATGAGAAGAAATTTCAGGTGCTGAACAGAAAAGTGGCATTGAAATTGCCAAAGCGGTTTTTCAAACGAAACGAAAAATGGATAACAATGACAATACCGCCTCAGAAAATGCTAATGTTGCAGTTAGTGGTGTGCAGGTGTGTAATACATTGCATTTGTCTCACTTTTTCTTTGTACAATTAATTTCATTCTATTCACAAAATGTTCATTGATGTTCTGAAAATTGCCATCAGAACCTCTGTATAGCAATTCGATGAAATCGTCCTCAAATTTTGGAAGGCGACTTTCACATGACAACGTTTTCATTCACATGCAGAAGAATTGGTTTGACTCTAATAAAATTTTTCCTTTTTTTTCTTTTCTCTTCTTTAAAATTTCATAAAGCGATACTTTTGTAAAGGCAGAAAGAGTTGACAGAAGTCTTTTTCGAATATCAAAATTAGAAGGAAACCATTGGAAACTTTCGAAATTACATTGCCTTACATATTTTAATTCAGTCTACAAGCTACAAACATGAGGAAATTTTGAAAATATTAGCGAATAATTCCTGATCCGTTTGCGATCAACATGTTACAAGATATTTTTCTAATTAAAATTTTTGCAGACATTAAATTGGAATTCGTCGGTTAATAATTGGATGGATTATGAAAATGAAAATCATCGAGATTCTGGTACAAGTAGCAGTGACGGGATACCTACGTCGGATGCTCCTACCTCATCTACTACCTCAACAAACATCAGTATTTTTGATACCCTTTTACAGGTAAAATTAAGCTATTGTACGTATTTATGGGGTACAAAAATTAAAAGGAATGATTTGTCTTTAGCTATGTTAATCATATTATTTAAATCAAAACTGCTTACTTTGTTAATTTCAATTTTCACAAAGTACCTTGATAGTCTTAAAATAAATATTTGAAAAGAATACAGTTTAAAATCATAACTGATTTCTATGATGCTTATTTAAACCTATTTTGATGATGACAAGTGATTGTAAACACTCAAGTAAAAGGAGACTTGGTAATCCTTAGTAGTTCCTATCATAGATAGGTACATGATTTATTTTTAAGTAAAACATGATTACGTTGTCACAGGTTGAGTGACATCACTGTGATAATTACAATACATCATGGAACATCTGTTTGAGGGTATTCAAGTAGGCCGGAAATGTAATGTCATATTTTTATCGCCGAAAATCATGCATACGGTCCCGAACGACCGATTACCCAACCATCTGCTGGACCGAACAGAATGGCTTAGTAACATGAGTCTATTTCGAAAAGCTAATACATGTCCATGCCTAGTGTGCAGCTTGCACCATTATCGATAGACACGTTGTAGCGGATGATCTGATTATTCCGATAGTATAATTAATGCACTTTACATTATTTCATTTAGCATTGCTGAATTTCATTTCAATTATAATTTTCTCGAAATGGAAATAAAAATCAAACTCCATAATTAGAGGAGTTTCTGTACAAAATATATCGTAGCAGTAAGGAATCCTTCAAAAGTTGGTTGTTTACAATATCGTTAGAGGTTTACACTCTTCACGGAGAGCGAAATAAATGTCATAAGGATTTTACACTTTACTGTTAAATTTGCAAGTTCAGCTGACTGGTCATTAAACTGCATTACTCATTTGTGGTACAGTACCCCTTACTGACGGACACTACAATTTTTATGTCTTTATTTAAACCTTATTTACGATTTCATGCTAGTTGAATTAATTAGCAATGAATTTACTAATGATAATCGGATGTTTTTCTATTCATGTGAGATTACTACATGTGCAACTTATCTTTTTTCTTATATCTAAAAAGTTATCAAATCAGCTGCTTTGCATAGCATGGATATACAAATAAGTAATCCTTAAATTAAAAATGTGATGCGCAACACATTTTTAGCATATAGATAGCAAAAAAAAAAAGAAAAAAAAGAAAGAAACACAAGTAATTATAGGGAAAATAATTAACATGATTCATCACAATTACTGAAATTGACTTTTGAATAGACATTTATCCGAACTGTCAGTCTTCGAACATCACACTTTTCAATTGACATTACACCGATATCAAGTAATGTCAATTAAACAGTTTGCTTTTTCCCACTTCTGATACTATCTCAACTTTACCATTGCCATTTGAGATGGATTAACAGCAGTGGTTTTGCGGGACGAATTAATACTTATATTTCTGAAAGTTTTCGTTCATAAGGCTTTGTATGAAAGAGATTAAATGAATTTATCGACGGATAACACATGAATGAAAGAAAATATCATTGATATAAGAGCTGATATGACACCGATTCGTTGACGACATCTAATCGATTATTTGACGGAAGATGCATAAAAGAAAAACAAATGTTTTACTTTATTAAAAATCATGTACAGCAATACAATTATGTACTACAATCAGTGCTAGATCCTGAAACTGAAATGCAGCCATTTTTTGGTGAGATTAGAATACTTTAAATGCTGTTGTTCTCTCGAGTGCGGATTTGTTAATTTGGCCAGTTCTTGTTTTACGAAACGATAATTTTCGGCTTAAAATGTCAATAGAAATATTCTTGGTTGAAATGGTGCCAAATTCCAAAAATTGCACCGAAACAGATCAAATGAATGATAATTTCGTTGTCTGAATTATGTACTTATATTTAATGAATGTATATATTCGGTATATCTTTTACAACATTTCTAGTCATATGAAATTTTTTAAGGCAATTGATCGAAATGAGATATCGAATAGGCTTGATCTAGAAACACGATTAAAAATTATGAATTGGTTATGTGCCACGGAGGAGATTAACAAAGTGGTAAGTCTTCGTTTGAGTTTTTACATTAGAATTTCTTCCGTAAATTCTGCAATTTTAACTTCAACGATTGTAAAAATAAACATCGTAGTGGATCTTATTGATGTAAATGATAGTGAATCCTCAATTTAACTGTTTTAGAAGAAAAGGTGAACAAATCATTTAAATAATATATTTATTGTTACCACCGAAGATTTTATATACAAAAAAAAAAAAAAGAAAAAAAAATAGTGATAAGGAAAGAAAGGTGATGAATGTGTTTAGTGTCACTTTTATCTCTTTAATCTTTATTATTATTATTATTTGAATCTTTTTTTCCTCTATTTTTATTTTCGATTATTTTGATATTAATGATTACTACATTGTACTTGATTTTAGCATATAAAATTTGAAATTTTACCAGCTTCATTCTTAAAAATCAGAAATGGTATATAATCATAAGCACACTACACTGTGTTTAACATTGTGTTTATTTTATGGAATTATAATTAATAATTAAATTGTGCTTAAATTTTTTGAAGTCAAAAAACACTACAGCAAAATACCTTCCGCATCTTATTATGATAGTGATATGGAAATTGTACTAGTTAGACATTAATATATTGTTATGAAACGGAATTACTGATAGCTAAATGATCTTAGATCACTGTCATCGATCTACCAGTCTTTTTCGGGAAAGTACGGAAGACAAACTGAACTAAATAACATGACTATTCTTGATTTCGGGACATTATATACTCTCATTAATAATTGTAAAATAAGCTCCAGCTTAATTGATTTGATTTATAGTTTATAGGAGACAAATGACTACGTTGCGTTTCATAGGTCTGTATATTATTGTTTATTAGATCAAGTTTTCTTTTTTCTTTTTGTTTTTACTTCACCTAAGAATATATAGTTGAATACAGAACTACTCAATAGTGTACGAAGAAAACACGAAGTGAAGTAATTGATAATAATAACTACCCCTCATGTGAACGACCGGTAATGATTTATCAATTATGATTGGCAATAAGAATGTCAATTTGGAAGAATTTATAATTTTATCCGAATCTTTTTATTTACTCTTTTTCTTTTCATATATTCAAATTTTGTGCTAGGAGAGGAAAGATATAAGGGAACGGAAGTATTTTTTGATCGGAAAAAGATACCGCCATTAGTAGTTTGCAACAAATGACGAGGAGATATTATTTGGTTTTTTATTTCTGAATTTTATCACCTTGATAATTATATCTAAATTTTATGCCGTATTTGTATGCCACCAACTATTAGTTAACATAAATAACAAAAATTTTAATGAATTATTGAAATGTTTAATTGTGTATTATTAATAGTACGTACAGTTATTATCATATTTGCGTATTGGAAAACTAAATTATTAAATCTGGTATCTTAATATCTTCAATATCTTTAAATCAATCATTTTGCATTAATCAAATCAACTAATACGATCATTTTTAAATGAAAGATTCAATATCCGATTAATTCATATTTCTATCTCATACCACCTGCAATTTATCATCTTTCCTATTGTTGTAGTGCCATCGTGCTAACAAAATTATTATAAAACTTTTAGATATGTTGGCATTTTATCATACGTATGGTAGCTTGTCGGTAAGGAATTCCGTTTTAAAAATTTTAAGCTCAAATTGTAAAGCTAAGGAATGTTCATTCGTGGAACAGTTGCTGTTGTGGAATGTGTGTGTGTGTGTGTGTGTGTGTGTGTGTGTGTGTGTGTGTGTGTGTGTGTGTGTGTGTGT